GGATCACCACCAAAAGATCGTGGACATAACCGACAAAATCGTGGACATTGGCTACGTAGTTCAATGTCCACGTTTTGTGGACATAGAGGCGCTGAAACCAGCTCAATCGCCTGTCCCAGCTAAATCGCGGGCATGGCCGCTCTCAGGATCCTCTCTGGCTTAGCTGTCGAGTCCCCTCCCACCCTCTCGCCCACCCATCCTACTATAGGTGCTTTCCATTTAGCGACACAAGTCGACGTCATTCTGTCTCTTTTCAATTTATTTAGTGACAATAAAGACAGAATAACACTTGTCAACTTGTGTCGCTGAATGGAAAGCACGCTTTATTAAAAATGCGATCCTCAATCAATGAATCTCCACCCAAAGAAAAAAATTAAATCGTACAATTATACGCAACAATCAGAATGATTAATTTACTGAATTTGAGACATTTAATAAACCACTGCAATTGACAATTATGTTCTTTATTCTGTAGTTGTCTCTACGCTCCAATCAGCTCCAATTACACGCTAAGGAAGGTTGGAAGGTTCTAACCTATCCTTTTTGATCGTTTGTATTGAGTATCAGATGGAACTTGGAAGGAGCGAGCCTTTTTCAGCTATCAAGAATATTGAATGGAAAAAAGTTGGGATAATCTTTGAGTATCTCATCAAAAGGTTGGAAAAATTGTTTAATTATCCCTTCAAAAATCAATTACTTGAGATTGATCATATTTATAATTAATTAGGTTATCAGAAGAAAGGTGTCATATATAACCTCGAAGAGAGGTTGAAGGTGCAAATCCACCATCCGATGGGATAACATAACAAAAACTCATCCAACGTTTATATCGAGCGTTCCGAGCTGTCAGAAAGAAGTTCAGGATTTTTTAACTGCCAACGATACAGCATACAGTGCGTTAATTTCTGTTCGAGCACAATCGATATACCTAACAGAATTACTCATTCAGAGACAGTACATTCTTTTCCGACTTCTGCTTCTGTGATCTTCAAGAGCGCAACGTGAATCGTGCGTGGGACGATGCGACAGTATTTAGATATCGTGTGAGAGAATGCGAATGATCGCGGACGGATTCACGAGGCTGCAAAGTGTAATCGCGGTATATGCTTCGCTCGCAAAAAGGTGACCGCCGATTATACTCGCTCCAGCCTTGCTCGACATTATAGAATCATGGAGATAATGAATGCCGAAGACACCGGCGAGCTGCACGCATCGCTCCCCGCGAAGCGTCGCGACAATCCCCTGTCGATTTCATGCAATTGGCAGATCAGCAATAATAAGCAATTTGTTGACGCTGTCACTGTTGCGCCGATTCAGTATGCATCTGCGAGGTAAGCGAATCGATCGGCCGTGGAAGGTGACAAAATGATATTTTAAATATATATTATTATAATTTGAAATATATATATTATTATGTACATTTTATATTTGGACAGAATAAACTGCGAAGACGTAGCTTCTCTCGACACCTGTATCGCTTTACAACCAACGGGTTCTAATACCGAACCGTGTATGCTGAACATTAAGGTGTCAAACTGTCAGAAAGTAGCGCGCATCGCTATCGTTTCCGAAGGTAACGTCCTGGAAATCTTCAAACAATTTGGAGAATACGAAACAACGATACTCGCGGAATTTGTGGACGAGTATGAGGAAAATGTAGTTTTCATCGGCGAGACGACGATACACCCTCCTACGACGGAAGTTAGCATTAAGGTAAGACGACTGACATTTACATTGATACTTTGCTTTTGCATTTGATGTGTACATAATAACGTTTACTTTTGTTTTAGTTTATTAGAACGAAAAATAAAGGCCCGCCTATGTGGGTGTACGGTGTAAGACTGTTTATGACAGACTCTACAAGGGAAGCAAACCCTAGTGCCTTCGATTATGATATTATCCGGACTTTTCTCAGCAACATCAGCAACGATAAAACGAGTCCCAAGTCTGAGATGGCAAAGAGGGCATTTGACGATAAACAGGAAATGAGAAATTGTAGAGAGAGACTCTTGGAAACATTTGCATCGGGCTCGAAGTATGCCGAGTGTACTAATAAAATTGGAAGGAGCGATAAAGAAAAAAAGGTTCCAAACTGTGAAGATAATTGCAAGCAGTCAGATGCTGCCGAGTGCAGAAATGGAATTGCGAGAAGAAATAGTGAAACTGATTATCCAAACTGTGGAGAGAATCACGCAAGATCGGACGAAGATATTAGAACCTCCATCGATAATAAAACAGAGTCTGTAAAAGAAACACAGTCTGGTAGCCTCAATTATAAAGATTTTATTCAAACATTTCTCAGTAACGCCAGTAATGGCAAAATGAGTCAACAACCTGATATGACAAGAATGTTTGGATCTTACGATAAATTCGATAATAATGAAATGGTGAATAACGAGCAGTTTTATCAGAATATATTGGAAATGCTTCCTTCGGATTACTTCAAACGCAGGAAAGAAATTGCAAAAAGAGATAATGAAAAAGAGTATCAAAGTTGCGAGACTAATCATGAGAAGTCGGATTCCCTTGAATGTAAAAATAAAAATATAAGAAGAAATAATGAAGACTGTACGAACCATAAAGACTACAAGAAATCCGATACAGATATCAGAATCTATATCGACAATAAATTTCATGATATGGAAAAGAGATTGATGGAAAGAATAGACGAGATGGAAGCCAGTGCCAATCAGAAACTGAATGCCATTTTGGAAAGACTTGAATCACGGCTGAATTTACAGTAAACATATTTCTTAGTTACGAATTTTTTATATCTAATAAAAAGATTTAAGTTATTAAATGTTAGTAAAATTTAAAATTATAAATGAGTTATTTTATTGTGAATATATCTTCTCGTTTCTGTGTTAATTAATCAAAAGATCTGGCTTATTTTTTTTTACAAAATATAAATTTCTTTTATTATTTTTATGCAATCTTTTATTGTATTAAATTTGTATTCATGTATCATGTACGATAGTGTATTGTTTTCAAATTTTGTATCAAAAGCACGTACAAAAAATTGCACAATTTTAAATTCATAATAATATTTAAATACTTACAATTCACATAAATTTAATGTCTTTAATAATCTAATTAGTAGTAGAAACTTGCGTTGTCTCAAAAGAGACCTTCAATGTATATACATTATTTTATTTATACAAAATTATTTGTGTAACCAAGCTCTCTAAAATGTGTTTATGAAATTACATAAATAAGAACAAAAATATCACTGTTCTTTCTTATTTAAGATCAGTTATAAATTATATTATTATACAGATGTCTCAAAAACTAGAAGCAATACGTAACAGAATAAGAGGCGTAAAATAATACAATTACAATATAAATTAAAGGAAATAATAATGGCAGTAGTTTGAACGGAATGACAAAATGAACTTTACGCCTAATTATCAGTCTTGTCGTTCTCCTGAGGAGGATCCCAAGAATGAAGTTGCTTCCGCCACAACTTTATCATACCGTCCCAACCCCGTCTACTGTATTTTATATGTTTCGGTGGTGTCCTCGGATGTTCTCGCGTACGGTTCTCTCTTAAACAAAATGGCAATTTTAATTAGATATATTACTTATATATATTTATGTGTATGTGTTACCGTTAAAACCCAATTTTACTAGTTAAAACTAGGTCTATAATTATACTGTTTTACATGGGTTTGTGACTTTTCATACATGGCGAGATCCAACGCTCCTGTTTATGGTTACGAAACCTATAATTGTACTGTTCACATAGGTTTTTCGATTTTAATCTAATCTAGTCTAATTAATCATTCTAGTAAATTCAAGATTTAACGAATTGTGAATTTTGAACATACACATGGTAACATATACACAGTTCAGCTACAAAGACAAGGCCTGATATTAATCTCACGACCACTTACTTGGGAACCAGCTGAATATATCTGTCGTATCCGATGGTGTTCTTCCCGTAATCAATTTCCTTCTGTCTACGCGCCAGCACCTTTGGATCGTCCTCGTACTCTACACGCTTTCTGTCGCTCTCCGACGAATTGGTGGTCGTACTGGAGTCGCTGGAGTAGCGTCTGTTACGAGAGACCTTGGTGCACCTGTAATCCGTACTATCCTGCCTCGCTCTCTTGCGCCAAGTGTTGCGAAAGGGTGGATCCGGCCGGTTCCTCACGTTGTCCTTGTACTCTATGTACCTGACTTCTTCCCGGCCCTTCGCGCGCTCCGCTCGGGCATCGTCGCGCCGCGCGCTCGAACTCTCACGCCTCTCCTCGTTCGCCCAGCAAACGTCCGTACCTTCCTTGTCGTCCTCGTACCACGCACCGCTCTCCGTATCTCCGTCCACCTTCTTCGCGCTGTTTCGCTCGGGCTCGGTGACGATCGAGCCTCGGTTGTTCATGCACAGCACCTCGTCGAGCAGCTCGTCGTCCTCCGCAATCTCCAGCTCCACCGACGATTCCCGCGAGGACGAATCCATTTTTTAGCAAGTGGCGAGCGAACTTTGGATCTGGCGACTCGATCTAGAAACACAGAAATAACATGATACCGTAATTGATTACCCGGTCGACTCGGAACATTCCGACTGACGGCACGTACATACATACACGCAATACGCACAATTATCGCAACAGGTATAACCTACGCAATCGGTCTACGGGTTTCGCTTCGAGACGAGTGAGCGCGAGACATCCGTTTACATTGCTCTCGGTATAACGCCGCGCACATCAGCTGCCTTCCAACGTCATAAATGCGACGAAGACGATGATTTACAGCACTACAGCAAAGCAAAGCTCGAAATTACGTTCGCAACTTCGAACGCTGTTCGATTATCGTTTACTCACTTCATTCGCCGTGCGCGCCTTTTTCGACTACGCCCCGCCGACGCCGCGTACGCCGCAACTGGTAACAGCTGAACTGCTTTGCGCGCCTATTTTAGATTAGGCCAGAGAAGATCCTGAGAGCAGCCATGCCCGCGATTTATCTGCGACCGGCGATTGAGCTAGTTTCAGCGCCTCTATGTTCACAAAACGTGGACATTGAACTACGTAGTCAATGTCCACGAATTTTTGGTAGTGATCCGTGCTATGTCCACGATTTAGCGGTTGTGTTCCGTGCTATGTGCAGGAATTCGAGTAGGTTAGTTAGACAAGGACGGACATCAGTCTCGGTCGTCCTTGTCTCACCAGCTGACAATTACGAAGCTCGAGCGGGCAAAAAATTTTCTCTCGATACGTTTTTTTTGTACCGCTGCGTTTCCGAAATTCAGAAAGAGGATTTCGGGCAATTCCTGGCAGTGAGATGGAAAATAGTAAAACGGAACTTTTTTAAGCAAATATAAATTTTATATGCTGACGTGACACGCGTGCATATATGATTTATGCACAACAAATACGCGCGTGTTCAACATATTATACAAGAAATAATAAGAAATAAATGAGAATAATAAAAATATTTGGCTTTTTTAATTTTATCATTAACAAGCGATTTTATGTAAAATTTAGCTATTTTAGTTTAATAAATCGCAAGTGAAATATGAGTAAATTTTGGACTCCTACTTTGAGAAAGCTCTTTCGATTCGACGGTAGCGTATACCTGCCTAGTAATAACGAAATCGCTGCGGACCGATTTGCGTCTCGACAAATAATTTTTTTCCAAATTAAAAATTTTAATTCTTATAAAAAAGGTAATAATAATAATAATAAATAACACGGATTGGCCGCCGCGGGGTAACAAATTTTAATTATTATGTACGTTTTGTAATTTGTTATGCGTCGTGCAAATATATTAATAAAAAATATTTCACAGTAATATATATATATCAAAATATACATATTAAAAAATTTTGTCAGCAAAACGGCTTTCAAAGAGAAAAACTGCGCATCTTCAAAAAGTTCCACGCATTGTAATAATTTGAAGCTATAAATTCGAGTTCTATAAGATCACAATAGTTTTTTGATTACCTCATCGAGCGGTCAAGAATTTTATTTTTTATTTACCATGTCGCAGGGTAAGCAATTTTTTATTTTGGTTACCCCGTCGTGGAGTAAGAAATATTCCTTACTTCGGGGCGGGGTAACCAAAATAAAAATTGCTTATCCTGCGGCAGGGTACATAAAAAATAAAATTCCTTACCCCGTGACAGCGTAACCAAAATTAAAAATTGCTTACACTGCGGCGGGGTAAGCAAAAATTGCATACACCGCGGCGGGATAAGTAAAAATTGCTTTCTTTGTTTTAGGTTAAGCAAAAATTGCTTACTTTGTGTTAGGGTAAGCAAAAATTGCTTTTACAGCGGCGGAGTTAGTAAAAATTACTAATAACGCTTTGATGTAAATAAAATCTAAATTGTTTACTCCGCGGCGAGGTAAGTGCATCACTTTTGATATTTCCATATTATCAATATCAGTTATCATGCTATATATTTTGACGTTTCTTATAATGTATAAACACAAATTTTTATAAATATTTATTTCAAATATTAGCAATAATATACTTATTAGAAATATTTAAAACTTGTTAATCTTACTATATTAATACTAAAATAATTCCTATATAACAAAATGTTTGTTTATGATTTTCTTCAAAGAAATGCTGCATACAAAAATATTCTTTGCATCAGGCATTTGAATATTCTTAAAAAGCTTATAAAAAAAAGCTTAAAAAATTTATTCAACTAATTCTCGATGCCTTCTCTTCATTCTTGCATACGGCCCGATTTCAGGATTCATCACAAAATCGTACAAAACTGAAACTTACTAATTGTGCTGCGGCAAATTATCATAAAATTCTGCGGCTATACATTTTACCTATATAAAAAGTTGAAATAATAATCAAATTATATTGCTGTATAATAATATCGTATCCAAATTGTAGTAAATTTTAACATACTTCTGGTAATTTCGAAGCAGGCACTGCAAATTTAAGTCATGATGTTTGTTATGGTATCCAATATTGAAAGTAATGAAATTTTGAGGGCCATTGTAACTGTATGTTTCAAAACCTTTTTTGTACTTATAATGTGACGATATAAAATGTACTGAAATCGGATGCAATCCCGTTGTCAAAAGAGTGCTAACAATCAAATAAAACAATACTTTACTGCCTAAAAACCAGATTTTTTAAATTAAGTTTTACAATTTATACTAATTTATATTATTGATTGTATCTTTTTTTGCAAATTTTGAAACTTACTACTATTACTATTTAAGAGAAGTTGATGTTTTTGGACACATTACAAGAGATCGCAATCCGCGTAGAAAAATGGTTGTAGTATTAGCCGACAGAATTTCCCAATTAAAGTTGTACAAAATAATTTTGCCTCTAATAATATCGGCAAGTCCGTATCTAATTTTTCATAACCCTGATACTAAAAATGTAACAAATATATTTTATTATATAGTTATAATTGAAAATATAACATATATTACTATACATAATTATAATTTAATTTTTACTATAAATTTTTATTCCTTGCAATACTCAAACGATGTTGCTCGACATGATATTTTTTAAAACTGATTGACATCGGTATTCTTATTAGATTAGTAGTAGTATTTCTTAGTAGATTTGCTAAAATGCCAAACAGTCGATTAGCCATAGGCCTGATAAGTCCAAAGGCAAAATTATGAGATATCTCATGTATCGCTGTAAAGCAAAACGTAACGAAATTGAGCGTAATACTGCATATATATATCAGAAATGTCAATGTATTAAAACGTCAGCATATATACATAATACATATATGTTAAATTGGCTTTACTGCAATAATGAAAATAAAATGTATACGTAATCATAAAAGAGTGATTTATCACACCTCCTAAACAGTATGCTAATAATAAGAATTTTGGATAACTCAAATCTTTAACTATAAACAACGATAGGAACTGGAATAATACCATCCCAGTAACGATTCATTTGAAATTTGGATCATGCTCAAACAACTGCTTAATTTCTGGATATTTCTCTGAAGTAGAAAATGTTATTTGTAAGAAACATTTAAAAACTGGTAATTAAACGAATTATAGTATTGTATATATATATTATACAATTTAAAATATAAAATTTTATTTTAATATTTTTTAAATATATGTAACTTTATTATACATAGAATGTGTAAAATTTGACAAACTGCATGTAAAAATCAAAATATATTTATTTCTAAAATAATAATGTCTTAATAAGACACATTTGTCGAATTTTTCTTGTCATACATTATAAATTTGTACAGTATCAAATAGTTGCAAAATTGATATTAATTGAATATACTGATCAACAAAATTATCGCATAGGTAAATTTATATAAAAATTTCGCATAACTTTAAATAAGCGTAACTCCGCAAAAAATGGTCGAATCGAAAATTTTTTTTTTATTCTTAAGGATATAAAGTTTGTGTTTAAAGAAGCTTTCGATAGATTTTTAATTTATCTTTCTTCCAATCCGCTATCTTTTCGAAAAGTAACGACATATTACATTTCAAAAAAATTGCATAATTTAACGCACTCTGGGATAAAATGAATTTTGCAAATGTCATGATAACCATTGTAAAGTTTAAACTTTTCCTACGAATTTTTGAAAAAATTTTGTACGTTTTTTTTCACGGAGTTACGGTATGTTATCATTACATTTTTGTTTAATTGCTGCCAGCATTAGCATTATCTATCTAGTGCGCATAACAGGGAAGTTGCTGCTTGAATTTTGCGCATTGTGTATATGTGTGTGTGTGTGTGTGTGTGTGTGTGTGTGTGTGTGTGTGTGTGTGTGTGTGCGTGCGTGCGTGCGTGCGTGCGTGCGTGCGTGCGTGCGTGTGTGTGTGTGTGTTCATATGCGTGCGTGCATGTGCATATGGCAAAGAGAAAAATCTCACGGTTCGTCATTTTCGCAGTATTTAATATTCAAACTTATTTTACTGATTATTTCTCTCTCTCTCTCTCTCTCTCTCTCTCTCTCTCTCTCTCTCTTCTCTCTCTCTCTCTCTCTCTCTCTCTCTCTCTCTCTCTCTGTGCGCGTGTGTGTATTTCATGAAATTTAAATCTGAACTTGGTGGCAGGAATACGCAATTTTAAAGTGCAACATATCCATATGCTTTGCCTCGTTTGCACAAAACACACACACACACACACGCACGCATCCAACGCAAAATACTTATCTTATTTACCGTAACTTCGCGGGAAAAAATAGTACAAAGCTTTATTGTTTTTTATAAATTTGTACGAAAAAGTTCAAACTTTATGATGGTTGTCATGACATTTTTTTACAAAAATTTATTTCATCCCGTAGAGTACGTCAAATTATGCAATTTTTTAAATATGAAATATGTTACTTTTCGAGATGACAGCGGATGGGAAGAAAGATAAATTAAAAATTTGTCAATAGCTTTTTTAAATACAAACTTTAGCCTTGAGAATGAAAAAAAAATTTTTGATACGACCATTTTTTGCGGAGTTATGCTGATTTAAAGTTATGCAAAATTTTGATATGAATTTATCTACGCGATAATTTTGTTGACTAGTAGATATCTAAAAATGATATATACTTTATATTTTAGATAACAAAGAATTAAAGATATCTTAAGTATCTATAAGTTCAGTCAATGTTTCTCAGTACTGCTTTCGTTGTCCAAGTATTATTTTATCATAGAGATATTCGATCACCTAGCAGAAGATAGTTTTCAGAATAGGCGTGGTTACACGTGTCTATAATATCCTTCCAAGATTTAATTTTAAAATTAATCCCATATTCCACAAGAGCGGTATTCAAATATTTACATAAAAAATAATTATCATGAAATTTCGTTTATGCAACCAGATACTCTCGGCGATTATCAGACCTAGAATTATTTTACGCCGCGTGCGGTTGCTCAGTGTAAACCCACTCGAAATCCGTCCTCGAGACTCGCTGGCCCATTTTTCCGTGACAGTTTTCGTACAAACGGCAAAGTTGAAATTAATCCTGATTAATCCCGGCGATGGCTAGAGCCGAGGGGTAACATCAACAACGGTCAAGGCAAGAAATAAACGCGCGTATACACAATTACACCTTTACTTTATACCCTATACCTTTATACCTCTACTTTACACCCTATATCTTTACTTTATACACAATTTTACCTTGAACTCTACGATTCGTCACATTACCTAATAATATTACCGGTATTTTTCTTGTTTTTTTTTAGCATTTGCTGTTATACAGGATGTCCTGATACCACTCGATATATTCTGTTAATTACGTATCTTGCGTTATGAATATGAAGTCGATCATCTTTTTCGCGATCGCCGCAGCGTTCGAAGAGCGCGCGCTATGGTGTCATTTAATTTTATCCTTAGGTATCGTTTATAAGACAAGGATAAAATGACGTATGACTATTAATACTGATAGAACGTTCCCCGAACGTAGTCAAATTACAAAATGTTGCAAAGTAGATAAATTTAAAAACTTTGGAAAATTCCCAGACAGTAGGTATACGGATATTCTATGGACAATCATACGATGTTCTTTATTCTCAATTACATTTATTTCATTATTTATTACGTTACAAATTTATTTTTAAATATAATTAAAAAATGCGCTAGAAATATATAATTAAATATAACGCGTATAAAAAAATACAACACAAAAGACATGTAATATAATATAAAATTATAAAATGTAAAATAAATTATAGAAAACTATGATAAAATTAGGGTAACTCCAGTATATATGCCGTGCGAGGATTTACGCCGCAGAAGCCAGAAAAAATAGAAGTGAAAGTAATTTTCTTGCAACCACTCTGTCATATGAATTATAGATAAATGAACATTATTGCCATTACATTTATTCACTTAGTTACAAAGCTTTTTCAAAGAATTAAAGATATAATTCTTGGCATTAAATACACTAAATAGTGCATAAACAAAATATTGCAATATGTCTTAGCTTAAAAAAGAATAAATTATTAAATAAAAAAGTACAGATCTGTCAAGAATAAATCTTCTGTCATTTTGCAATACAATAAATAATACAATACAATAAAAATCTAAAGAATAATTGTCGTCGAATTATCGATTTCTGTTTGATTTAGTTTTTCAGTATAAAAAGCTTAAAAGATGCAATATTAAAAGAATGAGGGTTGTATGAACGATATTTAGTGATTTTAACCTTGTAGAACTATCTTATTTTTGTGATTAATTATCCATTTCCAAATTTTGCAAGCGTTATTTTTGAACCACTTTAAGTTAGTTTCCGCAATAGTGACAGCAGAATGTAAGCTCGCTTTAAATGTTGCAGGATACATGTCTGTATGACGGTCGACGAAGAATTTCAACTAGAAAGGGAAAAATAAATCATTATCATTTAATCTATTTTACTCAACGATGTTATCTAATTTATGACGTTCCACTTTTTATATAATTAAATAATAATAACAATAATAGATAATATGATGTATAGAATATTTTAAAGATATAATTATACTGATAAACAGTTCAATTAATATACAATATGCAAAAGTATATCTTAATTCGATTTAAGTTTTTCTTTTTAGAAATCTGAACTCTTTCGCTCTGTCAATTTTTTAAATAAGAATTCTGAATAATCATACTTCGTTGTATTCATCCTCTCTCGATATATGTGACGCCACATTAACGAACAAATCTGCAAGTTCATCGTACCTTCCGAAACTGTAACGAAAACGTACAAGCGTAAACATTTTATTGCTACATTTGCAATTAATAGCGCTGCAATCATACTCACTGTTGGTATAGCGATTCGGTGCTGTATATTAAATAGTCGAGGGTAACATTTACTCCTATTTGACTTGCGCTGTACATGGAAGTAAATACCGCTGAAAGATCTTGTCGGCGAATACCAGCTTTTGTAGGATGATATTTTGGAACGGCTAATTCTGCTAAGTAACTGTTCAAACAAATTGTTCGTGAATCCATCAAATGATTATATAAAATCCCCTGCTTGGGCATGTATCCAAATAATCAGAGAAATTATTGCGACTGTTATAATTTTAGCAAGTTTCAACAATACAAATATAGAAAAATAGATTTAATTTTATTGTCATAAATATATTTGTTGACGAAAGTTAAAAATTCAAGATAATTACGCAGCTAATTTTTTAAATAATGATTTCATCAAGCGTTGTCTCATACAGCAGAAAAATTCGAAAAATATTATAGCAATATCTTTAAGATATCACATATTCCAAATATCTTTAGGATATCCCTACAATATACATATTTTGGACACTTCTGCTATGGTGTGGGTGTGGAGAAAGTTAGAATTACATTAACTTTTATAAATTATTTCTATGAAAATATACCTATCTTATTTGTTAAACGAACGAAGAAACCGTAATACTGATATATTTTTAAAGTTTTTTTAAGTAGTAAACATTATAATGTTTACTA